TGTAAACAATCGGATTTTGCTGGTAATGATCAATGCCTCATGCTCAAAAGTAATAAATATGAAGGTATTTATAAAAGGAATTGTCATTTTGTCATGTGCTTTTATGAAATTAATTTGCTTTGTTATTTATTATCCAGTCCGTCAAAAAAATCGCGCACTTAGTAAATCGTTGTATCTCCCAAACGGAATGAGCTAGAGCAATTCTGTAAACTGTAAAACAATGTTCCACATGTTAAGTTTTTTCTATCAAAAAATTATGGAAATCACGTGACTAGAACATAGAAATTTTTGGGTCATTTCGAAATGCCATGGTTTAAGCCCAGTTGAAAGGGGGGTCGGAAGGGGGCGGGTATGCTATTTGAAAGAGGAGATGTCAAAGTATATTATAGGAAAGTTTCATAAACATCGAATAAATATTCTTTCGTAACGAACAATATATTCAAGAAATTTGACACTATTTTTGGACAAAAATAGCCCAATTTGGGCCTTTTTATACTACATTTTCGTAGTTATAAAAAGTCGACTTCAGAATAATTTTTTCTCATAGACGTAATGTTAACAAAATTGACAATTTCTAGTAGATGGCTGGACTAATCTTAATCAAACTTTACTATAATATACTTTGACATCTCCTCTTCCAAATAGCATACCCGCCTCTTTCCGACCCCCCTTTCAACTGGGCTAAAACCATGGCATTTCGAAATGACCCAAAAATTTCTATGTTCTAGTCACGTGATTTCCATAATTTTTTGATAGAAAAAACTTAACATGTGGAACATTGTTTTACAGTTTACAGAATTGCTCTAGCTCATTCCGGTTGGGAGATATAACGATTTACTAAGTGCGCGATTTTTTTGACGGACTGGATAATAAATTTACTAATTGATCAAGTTTGATAAAGATATATCAATTACCTTATACTTTAATTAATATTATACTTTATTACTTCAAATTACAAATACTGTATACAATTAGAAGATAATACATGCTATTGCGGCGATTATATGGGCATTCACTGCGGCGATCGGGCGGTTGAACATACATGCAATTACGACCAAATAATTTTACATGGCAATTGCGAGCGTGATGGATTATACAGGTGTCGTATTCAACAAGGCGAGGCTGAATTTGGTTATTATTGTACCAAATGTGACCATGATCAACAAATTGGCAAAGACTCGTGCGGCCATCCTACTATGAGACCAACAGTAACTCCAACAACAACACCAAAAGGTGATGACCCAATTGATGACCCAACCGATTACCCAACCGATTACCCAACTGATTACCCTACCCACGCCTTTGCTTAAATTAACATTGATCATAATAATTTAAACACGATTTATTAAATAAATTTAATCAATACATTAGAAATTTTATGTCATTTTCAAAAGTTTAATATTCAAAAATATTTTTTATGCTAAAAAATATATGGATACTAATTTATGAATTATAATAACTAAATTTTTTGTAATATGATAAATCATATAATTATTCTGTGTTTTGTGAATTAAAAGTAAATTAAATATAATTTTGCGCTATTATTCATAAGGGCATTATATTTGCACTAATGTTCTTTATAATCACCGAATGAAAATTATTTTGTTGTTTTTATTACAATCCATTAATAGTAAACTAAAATAAATTATTTATAATTTTATAATATTGTAAATGGAGTTTTAAATATTATTATATTTTAACTACAAATAAAAATAAGTATATCTGATGGTAATATTGCAGACGATGGCTATTTTAGCGTAACGTCTATTATAAATACTTATTAAATTTTTTGGTGATTCAATAACCACGCTATATTAAAACATTTCTCATTCCATCCTGGACTTTTTTACTATTGATCTTCTCGGTGATAATTTTTCTATTCTTGAAAATTAGACTAGAGCAAATGTAGAGTACACTATATTCAAAAATAACAGATTTTAACATTGATTATGTCAAAAATCTATTGTCACAATTTATTGTACATTTACTGACAAGGTATAACTTAAAATCCAATTTACTACTATATGTTTTTACCTATTACATTTAAATTGCAAATGATTTATAAAAATCATCGATGTATAAAATATAAATTTAAAGAATCATTTAAATATTCCTGAATTTTCTTTCCAATGTATTTGTAAATTATAATTGATTTGGTTATACAAATCAATTTTCAATTATATTGTACAGTCTGGTTAAAATAACATTTATATAGTATAAATTAGATTCATCGTTTTCAACAATATCTTATAATTTTCCTGAAAACATTATTTATTGATATATAAATAAAATAATGATATTTTAAACAATTTATCAAGATACTATTTAGTTATTTAAAAAAAACTGTGTTAATAATTTATAAGATTTCATTTATTTGAATATCATATAAATTTTCATTTATTTGTTGGATATTTAACAATCAATTTCTAGATTTATTATTGATGATTATAATGCTGTGTTTGAATATAATTTAAATACCAAAATAATTAACATATTAATCAAATTTGCCCGTGTTAATATAAGCCAAAACTCTGTTTCCTATTGACAATCACGGGTACGTTTACGTGTAAATTCTTTTTACCAGGTATTTTTGCGGTGAATCTTAATTCATACGTAATGGAAATGTGTATAGCTTCCATAGACAAGGGTGTATCCATCGGAACGGTTACCTAAGTATTACATAAATATTATCTTTAAATTGTTTTTATATTAACCAACCAGAATTTTTCACACCCCGTCTAATCCCAGACTGACGTGTGACATGTTCTCAATAATGCACAAAGTTTTACGGTTTATATTGAACAATATTTGACTCAAATAATTATTTATAATCATTTAAATGATTTATTTGTATAATTTTCTTGGGGACTATATACAGAATTAGCAGATAGTTATACTATTAGTAATAATAATGTTATACTTTCATAAAGTGTTGATGCAAAAATTTATGGTCAGATTTACACCGATTTAAACGCATATTTATATATAAACAACCGAAATGTAAAAATTATCTTAATTCACGATGCCATAAATTGTTTAAATAATAAATTTATATATTAACAATAAATCAAATATAATGATTATACATTTATATTCTTTGATTTGTATTATACGTACAATGCTGAAATATTTTCAGTTATAAATGTTTATTTCTATAAAGTTAATTAACAATCTATTTAATTAGAATTATTTTAAAATATAAAAAGAATTTATATACAATTCTAATATGTATATGCTAAATTATGTTTGCATTTTGTTTTTGTTTACTCAAATTAGTACAGATGGACAAATCATGTATAATAACACTGGTAATTTATCATAATAATTAAATATGATTTTTATATAAAATTGAATATTTTTATGTCTTACATACGTATCTATTGTTATTAAAAATTATAATTAAATTCAATAACCAGTCTGTTTGTAAATAACATGTTCCCAAGTGTATAATACACATAATATAATGTAAAATTGATTTTTAAAAAATAATATAGTTAAAAAATATCTAATTTACAACAAAGCAAAAAATAATTTTTTTGCAATGATACTCTAATGTAATAAGAGACAATTTAACTCCAATATTATTGTAAATCTTAATAAAATTAGTAAATTACATTGTATACAATGTGGTAACAACATTTCTTGGGAAACGTTTATTTAATTTTGTATGTTACTTAATAATGGGTTATTGAATTTAATTATAATTCTCAAAAACGGATATAAAGGTCTATTTTTATATATAAGGTAGTGGACTTCAGATGTAAATATTTAGTTTAATTCACTTAAAAGGGGTACTACGGCAGTACTACTTCTATAGGTGTATTTCTTGTTCCGGTACGGGTTGGTATGTATAGATATTCAATCATCAAATCGTGCCAATGGCCACAAACGCCCACGTTTTTGCCAAATTTACGATCAGATATACAATGCTTAACGCATAGTATTTCTGTGAATGACATGTTACACTGTCACCATTTTTCAGTGCATGTAAGAACATTACAATAAATCTGGTTATAATTCGGGTGTTTGTGGCCATTAGCACGATCTGATGGCTAAATATTTTAATCGTGGTTACATTCTACCCAAACATACCAACCCGTACCGGAACAGGTAATACCTTTTAGGTAGTACCCCTTTCTAGACATTTTTCTAGAAAATATTTACTATTTCGCGTTAAATATAAATTAATTGTTAATTGCATAAAATAATTTGCACATACTTTGTATGTAAAATTCTTATGATCTAGATGACGTGACGTGTATTTGTGGGGATTACGTTGGATATCATTGTGGTTTTAGGGCCAATGGTAACAATTGTAAACCGGGTGCTATTATACCACTATTTGGCAAATCATGTGACAAAACTGGGTATTATTTCTGCCCGAGTGTCCAAACAGTGGCGGTATTTAAGGGTTACTGTCCTACTTGTCAACTATCGGATCATATTGGTAGTGATCAATGCCTCATGCTCAATAATGATAAACTAAGAGGTACTTAAGATATATTTACAATTACTGAAATTTAATAATATTCAAAATAATTTTAGTCCGGAATGCTGATAATATAAAAATAACTTACAAACTGATTAAGTTAATTTTTTCTGATTACGTATAATCAATTTAATATTTAATAGTTTGGTAAAACTATATCAAATAAATTCCAAATTGATTGATAATATTATATTTACTGATTGTTTACTTCATATACGAATCTAATTAGCAAACAATACATGCAATTGCGGCGATTATTTGGGCATTCACTGCGGCGATCGGGCTGTTGAACATACATGCAATTACGACCAAATAATTCTACATGGTAATTGCGAGCGTGATGCAATATTTAGGTGCCTTTATAAACAAGGTGAGGCCGAGTTTAAAGGTTATTGTGTCGGTTGTGACCATGATCAACAAATTGGCAAAGACTCGTGCGGCTATCCAACTATATCACCAACTATAGAACCAACTATAAGACCAACTATATCACCAACTATGTCACCATCAACTATAGGACCAACACGTCCGACACGTCCCACACCTCCCACACGCCCAACCACAACACCTGATTACCCAACCTGTGATTACCCATGCTATTGCGCAAATTAATTAAATACCATAAATCTTACATGATTTATTGAATTAGGGTAATTAATAAATTCTAAATTTTATACAGTATCATTTATCTTTGTCATTATTTTACCATTAAATCAATAAAAATTATGTAATTTTTGTGGTAAAATAAATTTGCGAACAAATAAATAAATGAAGATAAATTTATAAATTAATAATACAACCGGAACCGTAAAGTTAATATCACATAGATTTTCATTTATTTGTTTGATATATAAGAATAAATTTCTAGATTTATTATTGAAGTTTATAATGCTGTGTTTGAATATAATTTAAATACTAAAATAATTAACATATTAATAAAATTTGCTCATGTTAATATAAGCCAAAACACTGTTTCCTGGTCACAATCACGGGCACGTTTACGTGCAAATTCTTTTTACCAGGTATTTTTGCGGTGAATCTTAATTCATACGTTATGGAAATGTGTGTAGCTTCCATAGACAAGGGTATATCCATCGGAACGGGTACCTAAACATTACATAAATATTATCATGCAAAAATTATATTAATATCAACCAACCAGAATTTTTCCCGCCCCGTCTAATCCCGGACTGACGTGCGAACCAATCGACTTATCAAACTTGATCACTTTAGTTTGCTTATGTGAACCAACCCTATAGAGTCTTACTCTGCTTAACCGAGCGCTTGTGAACAACTGTAGTGCCGTTCGATTGTTTACCATAAAATCAATTAGAATCATATCACCTAGGTAAATTTGTTTTAACATTTACATTACAAAGTTAAATTATAAACTATTAAATTTAATTTTTTAAATATGTTTGTATTAAACTTTACTTGAAGATACCTGGATAATATCCATGTTTATTGAGATTAATAGTTGCCCGTACAGTTCCATCATTGGCAATCAGACCAATTTGCTTTTCGCTCACCATTTGCCTTGGTAACTATATAATCATAGAAAATATAATAATAGTATATTATAACATACATTATGATAATATAACACTAAAATATATCACATAGATAAAGTCTTTATAATAATATCCGTCAATTATGTTATAATGTTTTAAAGTATTCCCTAAACAATGTGTCACTCCTTATCATAAGGCTTTGCTTTAGTTATTGCCGGATGATATTGCAAGAATGAGCAGGGTGACATTATTTTTATTTACATACCATAAGTTCAGGAAAAATAAAGGGCGCCTCCACAATAAATGGTATTTTGTCAACACGGTGATTTCTTTTGTATATTTGAGGCTTGTGTAACATTCCATTAATAGAGTACTCGACGGCAGCGTTAGTCGCTTTAAAACTCGATGGAATACCTCTATTGAAATAATATAATTTTCATTTATAAATACTGTACATGTGCAATTTTTGTTATAATTTGTATCTATAATTACTCATTTGGTAGCGGAAGGACAAAGGGTAATTCGTGAATGCCCTTGCCTATTTCCCTATCAAGTGCTATGGATTGTAAAATTTATAGTTAATGTTTTTATTATATAATAGTTTTTAAAATTTATTCAAATAATAATAATAAATATATTTTACCTTGGCCCACAAAATTAAAATCAACTTTTAAAAATCTATCACATCCGTAATACGTATCTCTACCTTCACTAATCTGAGCATGTTCAAAGCCGATAATATTTATCACGATCTGGGAAATAAGACACATAATTATATATATTTTTTGATTTGTAAAATATTTTACATACCTGTGATAATTTCAATACACCATCTAGCTCGATTATGCATCTGCCCGTTACCCTATCGCCACACGTTAATGTCTGTACATTAGAGTCTAATAAAACTTCAAAGCGTTTTAATTTTATTTTACCCATAGCTGTATTGTGACAGTAAATGAGCCTACTTCAATTATGTGTTGTTTATAAATTTTATTATCTACATTTAACGTTATTTTTTTATTACCTAGATACCAATTATTAGTAATAAGATATTGCTACTAAAAGTACAAGTTCTACGAAATAATATTTTTGTTCGGAAGATAATGTATTATATTTTATTACCTCACTCAATTGAAACAATCGTAATTTTAATTGTATTATGATGTTTTGAAAATTAACTTTTTTCACCATAAAAATATTTACTGATTAATATACCGTAAAAATTAACTAACGATTACTCTATTCAACTAACTCAAAAAAATAACCAAATTCACTGCACAATAGATTTATTAATTAGAAATTTATTAATTTAAAAGATTAATTATATTATTCGTTACTTAATATTCTTATTGCTAGTGCAAAACATAATTCTGATGTAAAATTAAAAGTGCAACGGGTAAAATATTCCTGGTATATGAATGCAACACTTGAAATGTAAAACAAACCAGTTGCAAACTTAAGTTAAAAAGTTAAAATAATATGTTGAACATGGTTTTTAGAGTTGGATTTTAATTTGCGGCAAAATTAGGCATATTTATGAATTAAGCCGTTTTTCTGTAATTTCGTTTAATAATGAATGGTTTTAGAAAGTTTGATCATGTTTATAATTTTTTAAAGTAATTGTTTAAATTAGTTTTATTTAAAAACTAAAATACCAGGTGGAATTAACAGCATAATAACAATTATTCTGTAATTTTCTTATATTTCGTAATACAGTTGAAGCGAATGTAAGGCTTCAATGAATGAATAGTGGACTCAATTTATACGACAAAAGGATTTTATTCACATATAGTGTACAAATGGTCTTATAGTTAACGACAAGAGTGTGAGCTCTGCCGGAGTTACACATAGATGTTCACTGAACGGGTGTCAGGCGTGTACTGATGAGTGCGGGCTCTCGATGTCTCGATTGTATGACTTTAGGCGGGAATACTTGTGCTCATGCGCGCGATATACAGCTTTATTGATGACGATAGGGGAGAGGAAATTCACTTCCCTCTCACAGTATAACGTTATTTGACAGCAACATGAAATATAACATTTTAGATATAATAAAATTAACATTATTATTGTTGTTTAATGCATGTTTACTGCAATAAAATATAATTAATTATTATTCTCAAAATTTACTTTTTATTTTTAAATTACCATTATAAGACTTAATTTATAATCAATTTAAAAAATTGTATAAGTTTGAAAACCATTGGTACCAATATTTTCTAAATATACTTGGTTAATTATACGTATTAATGTTAAAAAAATTCATTACAGCTTGTGCTGCACCAAGTATAATTGTATTTTCAGATATAATTTCTAATGTTGAATTTGAATTTGATGCAACATATTTAACAAATTATTTTTAGTTAGAAAATTTAAATAACAATTATACTTTAATTCATTGACCATAAGTTAACTATATTTAATAACCTAGTGTACATTTATACAAACACAAGATAGAGTACAGTCTGCACTGTTAATTAGAACAAATAATTGATTAAATCATGTACATGTACATTAAAAACTACCTTTATTAAACAACAACAAACCCGGATTAGTGATCCAATTAATAGAGGCAAACAGATATTACATTATAGTCTCAGTACTCATAACATGATTAAAACCACTTAAAAGTAACATTAAATACATAGATACAAAACAAATATTGTACCTTATTTATTAAAGTTCAATTAAAGCTCATATCAATTACAAAACCAAAAGCACCAAGACCAAGATGCGTTTGTTAATAGTAATAGGGTTTATGGCCGTGATATACGGCGGAGCACAGGTAGCGGCCAAACCCCGTATAGTGTGCTATTGGGCTAATTGGGTAAATATGGCACCGGAGGAGATCGACGCCACCCTCTGTACGCATATTCACTACGCCTTTCACGTAATGGACCCGCAAAACAACGTGATAAAGGACTCCAAGGGTTGGCCACAACCGGAAATATACAATAAATTGTTGGCCTTAAAGCACAAGAATCCGGCCCTACAGGTGGTGGTGTCGGTGGGCGGTTGGGGTCAACCAAACGAGCCGTATTCAAAGTTGGTCAACACACCGGCCCTCCGTAAACAATGGATTGCCAACACTATAGCTTATATACAGAAGTATAAGTTTGATGGCCTGGACATCGACTGGGAGTACCCGGTCTGCTGGACGGGTAACTGTACCGCCGGTCCCGCATCAGATCGTGTTAATTATGGTGTGTTTGTGAAGGTAAGTTTAAAAGCATTTTGGTTATACACATTGCCATTAATAAATATACAAAATGCTAAATAACCGTGATGGTGTAGGAAATCCGCGAAGCATTCAATAAGCTCACACCACGGCTGACCATATCGGCAGCGGTGGTCGCGGGCGCCGACATAGCCGACAAGGCGTACGATTATAAGGCTATTGGAGAGTAAGTATAATACATAAAAGTTACACCTTAATAAAATTATATTACACAAAAAACAAACATGCTAACTAATCGTACTCTTGGTCAAAAGAGCGCTGGACTACGTGAACGTAATGACCTATGACTTGGCTCACGTGACCGACGGCCACACCGGACATCACAGCAAGTTTAGCGTATGTGTGGCCGATGTGGAGGATTACGTGAGTAAAGGTGTGCCCAAAGACAAGGTACTAATGGGTCAGCCGTTCTACGGCCACACCTACCACTTGGCCGATAGGAATAAGCACGGAGTGGGCGCACCCATCACTGGCGACGGTCACGTCGACGGCAATTATAAGTCGGTTTGCAAATTGGTTAAGAGCCAGGGGTGGACTAAAGAGCAGTCCGATGCCGGTCACGACCCCATCGCCTATAAGGACCTCGAGTGGGTGGGCTATGACGACCCCTACGCCGCCTATGAGTGAGTATTTCTTGGTGCACACTATAAAAAATTAATTACCATGTTTTGCCATTTAAATATAAATAGTTAGTGTATTTATATGATTTAAAATTAAACAAGTTAAATTACAGTTTATCTGTTGTTTTATGCTAGTTTATAAACTATAATATATATTTGTTAGTATACGCCATATATATTCCTACTTGTTTAAATTTCATTTATTGGGGCGTATCAATCAGTATTTGTTAAAATTATATCTCATTAATAATTTTAATAATTTTAAATATGTTTAATTAAAAATAATTAAATAATTATTTTATTATGCAGCAAGAGCAAATGGGTGAGAGATAATGGTTACGGTGGTATAATAATATGGGAGATCAGCCAGGATGATTATCGGAAAGAATGCTGTTCACTGGCCAACCCATTGTTACACGCGTTGAACTACGGCCTGTTTGGCACCGGACCAGAGCCCGACACTTATGGTTGTGAACATAAATAAATGCTTTAGCTGATTGTGATGAACATGTTAAATTAATTTTAATAAATATTAATTAAGTAAAATTACTTAAATAATAAGTGATTTCAAAAATTAACGGTTTATATTGAATGAGTGATAATATTTGATAGAGTTAAAATAGTGTGTGTTAATTGTGATAAGTAAAAGTGAAAAATAAATGTCATTAAGCTATTCATAACAAATTTTGCAGTATACAGTATACTCATTAATATTGTTTCAAAACATTTATGAATATAATTAAAATTTTTGAATAAACTGTTATAAAATTTACTAAATCATTAAAGTATTTAATAAACTATTATTTGCTAAATAATATTGGCGTTGTAATGGACGACGTGTTTTTTGTAAGTTTTTATTATAACTAATGTAATTACGAAAACTAATGTAAACTATAAGTTGAATACACTGTATCGTATAATCACCTTTATTTATCTATTCATATATAAACTTTTACATTAATGATATATCAACAAACGCTTAAAATCAATACAAGGGCTTAATATCATTTAAAACAACTACATTGTATGTACACAACGACACGAGTACAGTATTTTAAAACTCCCATAGAAATAACATGAAACTATTAGCGGTTGTAGCCGTTGTATTATGTAGTGTACCGTATTTGACCACGGGCGAAAAGCTCCGGGTGATCTGCTACTGGGCCAACAGTCTGCCCGATGGTATGAAACCGGAGCAAATTGACCCGACCCTATGCACTCACCTGCACTATGCCTTTCATCAAATTGATGACAAAAACAACGTGATAATCGACGAGAAGGGCTCAGCACAACCCGACACCTATACCCGGCTGTTGGCCCTCAAGAAAATCAACCCGGATATGAAGTTGATAGTGTCGGTCGGCGGTTGGGCCAGGCCAGATATTAAATGGTCCAGGTTGGTCAATAGTGCTGAGCTCAGGCGCGAGTTTATCCGTAATACTATACCCTATTTGCAAAAGTATAAGTTTGATGGCCTGGACCTGGACTGGGAGTACCCGGTCTGTTGGACTGGTAATTGTACCGCCGGTCCCAAATCTGATAAGGTTAATTTTGGTCTGTTTGTCAAGGTATTTATATTTTTTAATTAATTATTTTTAAAAATAAAATTAGTGTTTATTTTAATGTTTTTTGGATGTGATATAATTTTGATTTACTTTGATTTGCTTTAATTAAATACGCATTATACAGTATTATTAATAAATTATTAGTATATATTAATGTCAATTAAAATTTAACTTCTTATATTGAGATATTATTAATTTATTATAATAATCAAAAATTTTGACTCAAAATACATTATTTAACTTACATTATTATATTAATTTGTGTTAATAAATAAAAATTTCTGAAAATAAAATAACCACTCGATCTTTTCCCGAATTAACCAATTCCCAAATTATTTACATATTATTTTCATAATAAACAAAGTTTTTAAAACAATATTACATTACAGTCTTATAATAAATGCCAAATAATTTTGCATTAAAATACAAAATAAAATATTTAATGTTTAAAATATTGTCTTTTAGGAAATTAGGGCCGCGTTTGAGAAACTGACGCCACGTTTGACAATATCGGCGGCAGTGGTCGCCGGCACTGACATCGCAGACATTTCATACGATTATAAAGTACTCGGCGAGTATGTCAACTGTTATATTATCATTACCATTATTACATTGTTCATTAATACATTTGCGATATTATGCAACCTCGGAGAAAATAGATTTCTATACGCCATAGAGTAGTAATAAATATTTATAAACATTATAAAGTATATAAAATAACATTATTTTGCAATATTTATTTTAAAATTTGGCATCAGCTGAATATTGATAAAAATAATATACAATTAACCACCCTATATCATTAATATCTTTATGTTATTTTAAATATTTCAATGCACCAAGAGCGCTTGATTACGTAAACATTATGACCTACGACTTGGCGCCGGTCACGTGGAAACATACGGCCCATCACTCGCCGTACGCCCTGTGCATACAAAACGTGAACGAATGGGTAGACCGGGGAGTGCCAAAGGCCAAGTGCCAGCTGGGCGTACCGTTTCACGCGCGTACGTTCACCCTGGTCAACGAGGCTGTGCACGGGAACAACGCCCCAACCACCGGGAACGGGAAAAAAGATTACGAAGCCTATCGTAATGTTTGTAACCTCGTTAAAAAGGACGGCTGGACTAAAGAGCACATTAACGGCACACATAATCCCTATACATATAAAGGCGACGAATGGATTGGCTATGACGACCCCTACGCCGCTTACGAGTGAGTATATAAGCTTTTGTGGTAAATGTTTTTCAGCATGGTTTATTTGTATCATTAGGTTTTTATAATAAAAATCAGTGTAAAATAATACATACGAGGGGCAGTCATGCACCAATTAAATAATTATATTAGAATTGAAATTAATTAAAAAATTATTTTTGTTAATGTTTACAGTTTGTTTGGTTGAGCTAAATAGGGTTTGCCCACTAAATTGGTTGAACTTTTAATACCATTGTCAGCATTTTCTAATAAACAAATTTGTTATTAATAATAATTGCACATATAGTTTTAAATAATTTATATTCATGATTTATTTTTAAAAATTATAATTATTTAAAATATTTTAAGATTAATTATGAATCTATTTAACTCAATAATAGTAAAAGCAAATGGGTAAAAGACAACGGCTTTGGTGGTATTATTATTTGGGAGGTTGGCCTAGATGATTATACAAAACAATGTTGCACTGTGGCCAATCCTATGCTTCAAGCTATTAACCACGGCCTGTACGGTACCGGTCAGGCGCCCGACACATATGGTTGCGAACAGAAATAATAAATCAATTTTTATAAATTTTATAATTAATTGTCTTTTACTATAATTCAATGTAGTTATAATAAAAATAAATGAGTGATAATTAATTAAAATAGATAATTTAATTGATTGAAAACAAAATTCACCATAAAGACTTTATTTGAAATTGTAACTAACATAATTTTGGATTATGTGTTTAGTTAAAGTTATTTTAAAATTTTTATGGTTATTTTAAGCGATGCAATTACACTGTTGAATTCATTAATTAAAATTGTTTTGTCAAAAATTGTTAAATTAATATTCATTGAAAGAGGCAAGAATAAAATAGAAAATATTATTGATGTGAGGTAGTTTAACAAGTTTACAATTATTGAGTCTAATTTAATTGTACTAGAAGACTTGTCGTACCTAATACTGCAATTTAATAAAAAATATTTAAGCTTGTTTAAGTTATTAATTGTTTTAGTATTAATTACATTAAGGTTAATTTATAGTCAATAACCTTAATTGCAAAAGTAAAGTAAAAGTTAATTTAACAACTAAATAAACAACATATTATATATTGATAATAAATAGGGATAAATTGTGCCCGGATCAATTATTATAGATAACAATATACAATATGTAATTATAAAAATATATTGATAGATATAAAACTTGGTCTAAATAACATCTGGTGGATTATCTGTTGTGCAAAACACTTCACAATTTAATCATAATGATTAGTAGAAGTTTGCGTAATTGTAATATTATTTACTATTTAAGTTTATTAAGTAATTGTTATTCCAAAAATATTTTATCACAGTTATTTAATAAAGTTCATTATAGAAAATGTACATTTAATACATAGAGAAACCAATAGTCCTGTGTTTCCCTTGATCAACAACTTACTTAATTATAATTTAAAGTTATCTGCTAAAAAGTAAAATTTACAATTAATAATGCAAATACATTGTTCAGTTACACTTGTACAATTTAAAAAATCCAAGCTAATTAAAGCCAGCTTTATATATTATATTAGATTATTAATACAATTGTGTTGTATAACAAAAACATATAACTATAGTAACTAATACAAAATATATAGCCAAATAATTTTAACTATTAAAAAATCATATTATAAATAATCTTAACCCACAGAATCGGTGTCTATTTATTCGATTTTGATTTTTGATCACAAAATGAAAGCAAAAACAAGGTCACATTAACAATCAATGAACATCTGGCAACACTATGAGTGCGAAGTAATTTATTACCTCACTTACCACTTATAGATTAATTATTTTAAAAAAAACTATTTAAGCAATTAGATTCCCAGCAATTAACTTAGTAACAAGTTCTTTAAGTAATAAAAAATTTCAGCTAGATTAAAAAAACACAAACACACCATGAAATTTTTATTAATCGCTGCGCTGGTGTGCGCACAGGTGTTGCTGACCGTAGCCAAGCCTAAGGTGATCTGCTATTGGCCCAACTGGCGTATGGACGCCGGCGGTGACGACAGGCATACCCCGGAAAACATTGACCCAACCCTTTGTACGCACGTTCACCACGCGTTTCACGTGTTGGACGAACAGCACAATGTAATTAAGGACAGCGCCGGCGAACAGCCGGACATTTACCGTCGGCTACAGGAGCTCAAGAAAAAGAACCCGGAGCTGAAGATTATACCGTCGTTGGGCGGCGGCGGACAACCCAACGAACCCTATTCTAGACTCGTTAATGACCCCAATAAGAGGGCGCAGTTCATTAAAAACACTATCGCTTATATCCATAAATACAAATGGGATGGTCTGGACATTGATTGGGAGTATCCGGTCTGTTGGGGCGGCGATTGTAATAAGGGGCCTCAGTCTGATAAGCCTAATTTTGGTCATTTACTCAGAGTAAGTTAAATTAATTTACTTATTTATATTTATTTATTATTTAGTCAAAATCATTAAATCTATAAACCAGAAATCTAACCAAAAGTTTTTAAAAAAATTCATCGTTGATATTATTATTAATGTTTCATAACTTCTTTACAGTTTAGTTAAAATTAGGCACATTTTTTTATGTTGCACACATTATGATAAATTAGTGTTTTTAAAATAAATATACAGCATTTTATAAAAATAAAACTATTCTGGTCTCTCTCTCTCTCTCTCTCTCTCTCTCTCTCTCT